TTTTAATACATCAAATACATTTTTCTGCATCAATTGAGATGATTTTATATTTTTCACCTCAAACCAGTCAATGTAATATATTTATTGATTTGCTAATTTTATTTTCTTTTTAAAAACTCTCTTTTTTTAAAAAAGTAATACATTCTCAAGATATATCATCTTTTTATATAGCATGGAATACAGTTGGTTAAAATTTTGTTTAATGTTATTGTATTTATTTTCACATTATTTAAGTCATTTCCTATTATAATCAATTTCATATTTGTTTGAATTTTCTTCCGAGCATCATGACAGCATCAGGATTAGTAAGTGGTTTTTAGTGATAACCCTGTCCTCCACTTATTCCTTAGCCATGCTGTCTCTGAGTGAATATATTTCTCTGAACAGAGTAAAGATTGTCTTATTTTCTCAATCACCCTAATAAAGAACTCTTGACTTATGCAGGTATCATGAAAAGAACACTAGATTTTGATGTGCGCTTTGGCTGGAGTCATTTCCCTTTGCTCTGTGATCTTAAGTTTCTCAATCTCTAATTTCTGCTAGGTTCCAGATCTAACACTCTGATTCTCTGATCGTTTTCTTGTTAGTTACATTTCATATATTAACTTTTATCATTTCCAACAGCTTGGCTTTGAATTGGTGGAGACGCCGAAAAGCTCGGACAAACTCTGAGAAGCTGTATAGTCGATGGGAGCAGGATCATGACCTTGAAAGTTTTGGACCCCTTGGGCTTTTCTATGAGTACTTAGAAACAGGTAATTTTTAACCACTGTTCTGAAACATAGAGTCGGCATGAATGAGTGGTTTTTCAGCTCCTGATATTTCTTTCTGCCTTGCACGTGGTAGGTGTTCAATAAATCACTGGCTGATTGGCAAAAACGATAAGTGGAGGGATATAAAGAAAATTTGTTCCCTATTTCCCTGTTCCATCAAACAGACTGTGGAATAAAGTTTAGTTTCAAAACACTAATCTCAGAGACATAATTCCTATTAATTGAATGTTAATATTGTTGAACCAAATCAAGTAAGAGTCGTTTTTTAACACCCATCTCAAATTCGCTTTGATGGCTATTTCTCCATTTCTTTGCCTCAGTGACAGCTCAAAGACAAAAT